ACCAGTACCCCCAGCACTGCCCATCCCTTCCTGCCACGCAGCACTGACCTCGTCGCTCAGCCACACTTGCACGTTGTAGCCGTCGATCTTGTCACTGTAATGGGTCTTGAGCAGGGCATCGATGACCAGCACAGAGACGCCCTTCAGGATGAAGGATGCGAAGAGGTTCATGTGGATGTAGTTCCTCATGCAGTGCAGCTTGCTGCGGGTGTGGGGGCATTGTCAGTGCCCGTGCATGGCCCCCCAGCCTCCCCCTGCCCACCCTGTGGACAGCCATGCCCGAGCCCCCCACCTGAAGCCCAGCAGCAGGGCCAGGGCAAGCAGCAGYGCACACAGAGACACGGAATAGCCCACGGTGTACATCACCTTGAAGCTGCCATAGGTCTTGGCAAAYTTTTCCTGGAAGAGAAGGGAGCGAGTGAGAGCAGGGGCAGCCAGGGGAGCGGGCAGGGATCCCCACAGCCCTGCTCCTGCTGCCCAAATCTGCCCACCTGGGCCTTCAGGTCCTCGTTGTCCTGCTCACACTGTGTGGCGTTGCGCAGGGACTGTCCCTGGGGCCCCGTCACCCACTGCCCGTCCGGCCCACAGGTCTTGAAGACGAGTCCGTGTTTCACTGTGAGGGGAGGGGATGGTGGAGTGTCCATGTGYCCCTGGCAGCTCACAGGGGTGTGARCACCCTGCACAGCTGCAGTGCACACACGTTTCCTTTCCCAGCTTTTACCTTTCTGGTACCAGGGCAGGAACCAGGGGCAGGGCACGCTGGCTGTGCTGTTGGGCATCGTGTCRGGCCAGCACGAGAATTTGTCGAAGGTGCGGTTACAGACCAGCTCTGCAGAAGGACAGCAGATGGTGGCTCTTTGACCTCACCTTCTCTCTGGGTCTCTGCCCCTTCCCCATCTCAGTGGGACCCCCGCCAAACACCACTGTCCCCACCCCATCCCTGCAGAGCCCCACTGGACCCTGCCAGGGGCACTGACCTGTGGGTGCAGGCAGGCGGCTCATGTTGCGCTGGCACTCCTCGCTGTACTTCATCCATCTCTCGTAGAGGTTGTCTGTGATCTGGCCAGAGTGACCCTGGGGACACCAGGGACCATCACCCGTCACATTCATCCTGCTCACAGGGGCCACCACGCTATGCCAGGCAGCGACCCAGCTTGGGGACAGCCACAGACAAGTGCAGGCTAACACGCCATGCCATCCCCGTCTGTGCCATGCCATGCCCGTCTGTGCCATGCCATCCCCATCTGTGCCATGCCATGCCCATCTGTGCCATGCCATGCCCATCTGTGCCATGCCATGCCGTGTCTTGTGGATGGCAGGGCAGCAGGAAGGGGCATTTGCTGCTGCACCATGTGCCACATGAGGGGCTGCCGTGGGCAGGGGTGGGTTGGTGGCAGTCCTGGGTGGGCAGTGGGCTGAGCACGTGGCACAGCAGCCTGATGTGGGATGGCCCATCCTTACCTGGCAGCAGAGCAGCAGCACAAGCRCGGTGAGGACACGTGGCTGGGACATCCCTCCTCTGGACCAAAGGCATGGGACACAGCGCAGGGCACACGGCTTCCTACTGGCCTTCAGCAGCTTCTCCACGGTGCTGGTGACGGCCCTGGCACGTGGGCAACCCTGTGCAAGATGCCTGGTCACAGGGACTCCTGGGCCAGGGGGCTGGGGAAGCTGGGGCTGGATGGGCCCCTCTGACACAGAGCCAGCCCCAGTCACGGTGCCACCCTTCTGTCCCCATCCTCACCTGACTGTGCCTGGTGTTCACATTCAGCTCTTTGTTTGTGCATTTTCACACCAAGCATCTGCATTATCCTCCCCACAGGGACAGTGACCGTGCACGTCCTCTGCCCACCAAGCCGTTCCAGTCCCTGTGTGGTGGCAGTGCAGTGGCAGTGCTGCCTCCAGACTGCTGGGGAAAACCTGGGCTGGTGCCACCCCACGCTGCTGCTGGGGCCGGCTGTGCATCCCTGCTGAGCCCCGAGAATGCAGGGACCCCTCCTCAGACCGGAGCTGGGGCTCAGTCCCAGGCTGTGAGCACACACCASGGGCTCTCCCATCTCCACTGACCCTCGTGTCACCAACCCCCAGCCCTGGAGTGGCAGCAGCACCGGCTGGGGTGGCTGTGGGCAGGAGAAATTCACTGCATGGGCCATCAGGGATGGGGACAGAGATTGTCCATGAACCCACAGGATCCCGGCTCATGGGGCTGCCATGGCTATAGGACAGCTCAGCCCTGTGGCCCCATCAGCCCAGTCCAGGCAGTGATGTGGGGCCCTGCCTGACACAGCACCCAAATGCTGCACACCGACCACGGCTCACGTGGTGCCCTAATTCCCTCCATCCCCCTAAGCCGGTTATGGGGCTCTGAGCAGGATTTCAGCTCTTGCCACAAGGTCCATTCTGCAGCAGCCCCATGGCAGCACAGCCRTGTGGGACAGGGGCAGCTGAGCTGGGGGTTGGGATGGCCAGCGGTGCCCCCGCAGCATCACCCCCAGCCCCGGGCTCCCCCCGGCCCCAGACACGGCGTCAGCTCCCAACCACTTCTGTCCCAAGGCCTGCTGCTCTGCCCGTGCCTATTTTTATCCCTGGGAAAGTCGTGTTTCCTCCATCCGTGCAGACCCACTCGCCATGTCCAAGYGGCTGCTGGAGAAGCTCATTAATCAGCCATGGGGCTCCAGATGCAGTCGAGGAGGAGAACCTGCCATGGCCTTATTTAGCAGTCCCAGGACAGACTGAACTGTGTCCCRGGACAGTTCTCACTGGGTGGGCTCTGTGCACAGGGACCTTTGCTGTGTGCCCACTGGCCACTTGGCCATTCCAGTATCGCTGGTTTTGTCACACCCCAGCCCCATCCCAACACCACGGTTGGCCCACCAGCATCCCTGTCCTCGTGCCCCTTCCATCCCACCCCAGGATCCCTGTCTCTTTTCCCCCAAACCCCCATGCCAGCATTCCTGTCCTTGTCCCTCTGCTATCCTGATCCTGTCATCCCTGTCCCCAGCCCCACATCATCCCTTCGTGTCCCATCCCGCTCCTGCCCTTGTCCTGGTCCCATGGGAAGATCCCAGTGCCCATCCCTGGCTGAACATCAGTCCCTGCCCTGGCTGGGAGCACTGCTCCGGGTCCATGGGTCACAGGGACTCGCTGCCAGCCCCTCTGTGCAGCCGGGCAGYGGCTTTGGGGCAGAGGTGTCGCTATTTTTAGTTGCTGCAGTGGGATTTAGCAGCAGGGAGGCCTCTGCCCTGCACTCCCCCGCTATGGCAGTCACTCGGCCCCACCGTGGCCAGGCTGAACAGACTGCACTGGGTGAGGGGTCCTGGCACAGGGGACTGTCATGCTCCTCACCCCAGTGCCAGGCTTCCCCCTCACCCTGCCCAGCCCTTTGCCCCAGCTGCCTGTGGTGCTGCGCAACCGTGGCAGCACGCCCATCCCTGCTGCCGGGGGACGAGGGGCCCCGCCGGTGGGGCTGTGTCCAGCAGGGATGTGGGTGTGCAGGAGTAGCCACGGAGCAGCTCTGCCTGGTCCAGCACAGATGTGGGTGTGCAGGAGCAGCCATGGAGCAGCTCTGCCTGGTCCAGCACAGATGTGGGTGTGCAGGAGTAGCCACGGAGCAGCTCTGCCTGGTCCAGCACAGATGTGGGTGTGCAGGAGCAGCCACGGAGCAGCTCTGCCTGGTCCAGCA